CTCTGTGGGGGCTGTCTCCCTCAGCCTTGTTCATGGAGGGCCACCTGGACAATTTGTATTTGTCACCTGGAGGGTATCTCTCCCTCAAAGCCAAGCAGTTGTCAAATAGAGAATAAGGTTGAAGGGATAATGTCACACTCAGTGCTCAACTAAGATGGGGAATTTGTATATACGGCTGTTTGCTCCTGAAAAGAGTCAACTGCTATTGATGGGGAGGTGGAGGGGTTGGGTAAAGGGCGGAGTGAGGGGCCAGAAAACTCAAGAGCTAGTCCTGGCTTCTCCACTCACAAGCTGTGCCCTCAGACAAGTCACACCAACTTCTGAGAGCTTTGGTTGCCTCAGCTGTAAATAAATGAGGACTGTATCTGCCCAAATAATTTCAGAGAATTGTGAGGATTAGAGGAGAGTATTGTGAAAGCGCTTGGTAAATTAATGTACAAATATAAGCTATTGCTCCTTTTGAACAGGCAAGCTGAATACTTGGGCAGGAACCATCAGAACGATCACTGGCTAAATCTACAGGCAGTGCTGCTGCCTATTTCTCAATATATGCGATCGTATGTGCTCAGTTATGCCAAATGTGTTGAAATCTGCCCATGAGATGTGGACATAAGATGGTGATGCAACTAGGGTGGCTGCAAATCTTCTGGAATCAGCCTGGCTACCTTAACTGGGAAAAAATGATAAAACAAGTATGTGAGGGGCAACTGTGAGACCAGAGACTTTGGGCGGGCTCAAAGGCGCCTTTGCAAGGTCTGCCCCTGGTTCATCTTGCTGCCTTCCCAGGGCCGCAGGCTGAGACGCAGAGAGCTCTGTAACCAGTCACCTCCCTGAGGCCACAGGCTAGGGAGGACCATACTACTGATCTGCCAGAAGGGATACAGGAATTAAAAAAAAAAAACTTTTTTGGTCCAGCTTAGAAACAGAGGCAGATGATATACTGCTCTTCCACACATCACGCTGAAGATAAGCTCTGTAAAAATGTCCAGAAGCAACAAAATGATCAAAGATCCCTGCCTATACAATGACTCCAACTTACTACCTGTTCTCCAGTTTTTACCTTTGATGTCTAGGCACAAAGAGACCGAGCGGCTCGGGTGGCTTCCGAGGAGGCAGTAGAGGCAGCCCAGTTTAGGGGTACAGACACATCCAAGGTCAGCCCCGGCACAGGGATCCCACAATTGTTTACTGAGACCCTTGTCAAGTGACACTATGTATTATCTCTGAAGGAGGAGGAATGTGAAAAGTTACCTGGAGTACGAATTTCCTTTAGAGCAATAGGGAGCTTAAGTATAATTCTGATTACTTGAGCCCAGTTATTTAAGGACCTGGGGCTGCACTAGAGATGGGAGGCCTCCACAAAGGAAGCCACTCATTTCATTATTCTGCATGTCTGAACTGCCTGCACCTAACCAGGGGCTGCTCCAATTGCCATATACCTGGGGCCCTTGACAAAACGTAACAGGAAGCTGCTGCTTTTCACTTTTCTCTACTTTCTGGTTGGCCAATCACTCCCCACTTTTAGGTACAGATGACTGTGTGGGGGCAGAGAGGGAGAGGCCAGTGCCAGGATAAGAGCGTGAACGCTCAAGGGTCCTTTATTTCTGAGGAAGCATCGGACTCTGCCTTTCTCTGTCCTAGGAGGCAGTTTGATACAGAAAGGGAAGGGCTTTTGTTCTTATCAGGCGTAAGAGTCCTTTAGTCCCATTTGCTAGTCCTCCTCGGTAGGCCCCAGATGTTTCCTATTAAGTGACACTGGAGGGTGGTTGGTGTAGAGAACCTTCGGCCCCCTTCCCTGTTCCCAAGGTGGCAAGAGCGCAGTGCAGGCCTGGGAGGGGCAGAGGCGGCGAGGGGGCGGTGAGGGGGTGGCTAGGGGCGGTCGGTGTAGCTCACCGGAAGTTCACCGTGGAACACCCACCCTCTTCATGTTGTTAATATGCTCTATTTGCCTTACAGGGACCAGCATATCAGTTGCACGTAAACGCTAGAGACACACTTGCCCAACTGGAAATTGCAGAACTAGTGCATTTTTCCCAGAGCAGAGAATAATACCCCTGGATTAAAAAAAGAACATAAACACAAAATAAAGAAGTACCACACATATTGCACTTTTTGCCGAATGAAATTTTTACCTCATGTTCGTCTCACCAAAGTCTCTTCAGAGGAGCCTGGTTTACAAGATAATAAAGCTAATGATTATTATACAGTAGTGTACACACTGCTAATGTGAAACAGACTGGAAAGTCATTATTTCAAAGTAGCCTCTCATGAAAAGTGGTATTAAGCCTTCTTAGTGTTAGTGTTTGTGAAGAGAAAACCGCTTGGAAGCTTATATAGGTCACTAGTTAGGGGACAGAGCAATGGAGATGACGAGACAGGGCTGTGAAAACACCTGACTGACCAACAGAAACAGTCTCTTCTCACCAGTTTACATTTCAGTAAAGACAGATGGTTGTGGAATCTATTGATTTCTGCTTGAAATAAAGGAGAAGAGCAAATAGGAGCTTACGACACAAATCCAGCAGGACAGGTCACGCTATTTACCAGGTGAATGCCTGTGCCGCTGGTCTGTCAGCCCCTAACAGCCCTGGCCACTGCTGGGTGCTTCCTGACATCTAGCTCTGGGTCCTTTAACTTCCAACAGGCTCCTTGCTGGCCCTCAACTGTTGGCCTAATCGTCTTGCCATCGCTCCTAAGTTTCCTGGGCTCAGCGGCCTATGGCCTCGTCGGGGGCAGGTGTTTATGCCAAACTAACTGTGCCATTCCTGTGACTCTGAAATGAGTGGCTCCCATTTTCAATCTGGAAGGCATTTCAATTTCATTAATATTACAGCACTTAGATAGGATATTTTGAGAAAACATCCTTCAGTCTAAACAAATCAAGCCCTGTTTTATAACTGGCTTATTTTGCAAAGATCTTAATGAAAGGATCTCTTAAATGAAATGATGTAATCTATTTCATGAAATCATCAGTTTTAAGCACGAGGAGAAATAAACAACCCATAAAAGGAAGATAATTCATTCTCCCTGGATTTTCACTGTGTGTTAACTCATAGAAATGACAGTCCCCCGCACCGCCCTTTCTTGCTAACACCGAGTCCAGCCCCACACAGGGTTCCTCTGCGAGAAGCTCTGGCACCGAGTGGTGCCAGCAGCACGGACTGCTCATTACGGACTGCTGGTAGGGGCTGGGCTGGGGGAAGAACAGAACTCCTCAGACCTTCCATGCTTCTCCTCACCTGCCTGGACACTTACTACAAAGAGGAAAGGCAACTTAAAGGTGTTTCTAGATGCAGCATCAATGTAGTATCTCTCTTCTTTGTGCTTTAAGGAAGATGCTTTGTGCTTAACGCATTCATCTGCTGATAGGACGAGCCATTCTAAAGGACAGAAATGACAGTCTTTGTAAATAATAATACTGAATTTGTAACAGTTGGATGTTACTGTCCGAATGACAAATTAGTCATTACTTCTAGGAATACAGTTAACTAGCTGTAGCATCTATTTTTTACTTTGATGAAAGAATTGTAAGGGATAAGGTTAAGTCTTACTAGTAATGTGTTTGGCAGATGATCTGCTTAAATGGTTAATACATCTGTGGTTTTTGAATATTGCTGTAATACTTGAACATTTCATTACAAGTCAAAACTTTAAGGAAATTAAGAATGCGATTCCCACATGGTGGAAAACAAACTCTGAAGTAACTTTGGATTTAGCATTGACATAAATGGAAAACTGTTGGTTTCTACAGAAAAGAAATAATTAAAGCATGATCTGGGGGGAAAAAAAGGCACAGCACTACCACTTCACATGGGAGATAAAAGTTCATTTTTCTCGTTCTTAAAATTTCTAAGTCCTATATGAAACTGTCCAAATATACAAAGCTCAATAAACTACTAGCAACATATAGTGTAAAGTCAAAGTAGTTATTACATTTTAAAAGAGACGCTAGGTCCTCTAAAGACCAAATGCCCCGAACCAGAAGTCTCCACAGTAGACTGTGCAGGAAGAGCCTGCCTTCCCTTGGCCCGGAGCTGGTGCTCTTGACGGTATCTCGAGTCTACTGTCCCCGGTCTCCACTACGGTGGGTGTCCCATCGGTTCTACAGGTAACATCTTTGGAGCCCTGAGTATACTCTGACTCTATAACCCAGGTAACCCCGGGCGCCTTCTGAAGAGGCGTGTTGCCTGCTCCCTGATGGAGATGACTGACAGTCTCGGGGGTCAGTACCAGATGTTATTTAGTGGCCCCCGAAACAAAGCTCATGCTCCATTGCTTGGCGATGGTCTTGGGGGACAACTTGCATCAGCAGCTCAGAACTTATGCTTCAACGACAAAGTACAATTTTATTTCCTGCGCATCAAATTTCCTTATGCGTTCTTGATTTGCCACTAAGCAACATGTCTCTTGGCTTCAGTAACAAACATTACCATTTTCTTTCCCTCATATGTGATGGCATGCATTTTTCCTGCCTTCACCAAGGTTTCCCTGATAATGAACTGGTGTGGTTCTGCATAAAACCTAGGTCTGGATGCCTTCTGATAAAAACATTTGTTGGTGTCTCCCACGAGAGCTTGCTCCACTTGACCTAAGGACATGGGCTTCAGCCTACAACTATGTTCCAGCACTTGCCACAGAAAACTGTGGTGAGACAGAGCCAGGAAGAAGCAACATCCACCTGGCCAGGCCCTCTGATTCCAGTTGGGCAACCTGATTTTACCCCCTTAGGGAGAGGGCAGGAAAATAAGCTTTAAATGTAAAAGGTTGGAATAAAAATAGAAGTACACTCTTT